CTCTGGCAGCTGCTTCTTCTCCTGCCCTGGTGGAAGGGAAAGGAGGCACTCTAAACCTATAATATTGTGCTAGCTAGATGGACAGACAGTGTGGCCATACATGAGACAGTTTCCTGTATTCAAAGAGTCCCATTATACACTTTATATCTTTTCAGCATAGATACTTTCCAGCAAAGTAGAAAAGGATAAATAGCTGAAGTAAAACTTCCCCACTTTCCCATTTTTTGGCAGAATTTCAGAAAGTGAGGATTAAATTTGAGAGCTCTACTGCAGAAGGCAGCATAAGACACCAGATTTAGTAGTTTAAAAATTGTGTATCTACTTACTCAATATGCATAGCTAATGAAGTCATAAATTCAGCGTCAGTCCCAAAATGTAGACCTCCTCCCTGACTGTCAGCAGAGAATTCAGTTACTGTGTTGCCATCTGTGAAAAATAACTTTTACTACTGCCTGCAGGTTGTCTTTTATTACACATGCCATCTGTCCTGCTACTCATGTGAATCCTGAATCTTTGAAATGCTTTGGTTCATTGTTCTTTAAGCATTCTACCTTTCCTGTTTTGCCACATAAAACTTGAAGTAGGACTCTAGTGAATCCTCTTGAAAAAGTGTACTTTAAATCACCTCCATGTGATTTGTGTGTTAGTAGCAGATAATTCTGGGAATTGCCAAGAACAAACAAGGAACTGATTTCACCTTATCTTTACAAAGTTGATGTTTATAGTCAGGTTGAAAATCTTATGCAATAGAATTGTACTGGTGTTACTTAAAAGAAAGATGTCAGTGGTAGCTCTTTAATGCACTAAATAAGTCACTGGGAGGATCTTGAGAAGAATAAAATTTCGTAGTATTCTTATTGAACTAAATTGGATGCTAAGATTACATTACTGTTGCATTTTTTTCCTCTACCTTTTGTTGTTGTTGTGTATCTTCAAGTCATTTTTTACTTATCCTGAAACAAACCTATCCTGGGGTTTTCTTGGCACAATTTGTTCAGGCAGTTGCCTTTGCTTTCCTCTGAGAGAGTGTGACCTGCCCAACGTCACCCAGTGGATTTTCATGGCTAAGCAGGAGATTTGAACTCTGGTCTCCAAAGTCATAGTTCAATCCTCAAACCTGGGTCTCTTCCCTCTGCCCTTCCATAGTGCAAAATACTAGCCCCAGAGGGTTTCTTGTTCTGCAGCCTTCAAGTAGATTTTTAGAGTGTGCAAGGAAATGCACAAGAGGAGAGATAGTCCATCCTCTCTGGTGATGGAAGGAGCTTCTCTGATAGAAGCATGTCATTGGATACATTTGTTTGTTGTTGTCTGCCTTCAAGTTGTGGCGACCCTAAGGCAACCCTATCACAGGATTTTCTTGGCAAGTTTCTTCAGAGCGGGGTTGCCATTGCCATCCTCTAAGGCTGAGAGAGAGTTTAACTTGCCCAAGGTCACCCAGTGAGTTTCATGGCTGAGCTGAGAATCGAACCCTGGTCAGAATCATAGTCCAGTGCTCAAACCACTACACCAAACTGGCTTTCTCATTGGATACTAGCCAAGCACAATTATCCAATACTGTGGCCAGATTATTTAGTTAGTACTCATTCTTTATAGCTTGATTCACAAGTGAAATCTGGTGCAATATAGTGTTGTATTTTTAAAAAATGGTACCAATAGCATATATATGTCTGACCCTTGTTTCCACTCCACTAAATGCATCTGAGGAAGTAGACTGTAGTCTACAAAAGCTCATGCTGCCAACTTTTTTCTTTCATGTAGTCTCAAAGGTGCTACAAGATCTCTCTACATAACAAGGTAAAATATTGTAAGTTATGTGTTATGTTGCTGCAGCAATAAGCAATAAAGAGATAAAAAGGATAAATTATTACTCATACATTTCAATAATAGCAGACCAAATATATTAATATAGGTCCATTTGTAAATTATGTTGATATATGTTGCAAGTGTTGTTAAATCTTCTATTCATTTGATCATAGGTGGGGATTATCTTTCCAGTGCTGGAGTATCAGTCTTTTAGCAGTCAAGAGAGCATGAAAGATCCATTTCTGTTGACCATGCATTATGTGTCAAGACATTGGTGAATAGTTTAAAAGAATATGTGCATCACTGAATACTAAAGAACTTTCTAGTACCAAATTTATTTGTGTCATTTCTTCCATCCAAAATAATGCAACTATGGGGCATTTCCAGAACAGGTGGATTAAATCAGGGACCGGCAACCTACGGCCTGGGGGCCGGTTAAGGCCCCGGTCCCTGGACTTATCAGCCCAGGCCGAAGATTGCGGCCGCCATGCGCTGCCGCTGCGACGCGTTTTTGCCGCCCTGCGGCTGTGCTTGCCGCAACCGCCATTTTGGAAATCAAAATGGCGGTCACAACGTGTTTGCACATGCACAGTTCTCTTGTGCATGCGCAAACACATCGCAGCCACCATTTTGATTTCCAAAATGGCGACCGCAACATGTGCTGCGGCGGTTGCGGCTGTGCGCGCTGCGGCAGAGGTCACGGCAGTGTTTGTGTGGGGTTGTGTGCGCATGCGTGGGCGCGTGCACCGCCATTCCCCCCCCTCGGCCCAGCCGAGACCTGGGCTATGGGAGACTGGCCCAGGTCTTAAAAAGGTTGCCTTCCCCTGGGTTAAATAATCATTATCAGTATTATATATACAATGGCTAGATGATTTAGATAAGCTTTTATTTAAAAGATGTTGTGGTGTCCAGTATACTCAGAACAGCAGTTTTTGCTGTGTAAGATGTAATAAGAGATCTATGGTAATACTTGATATAGATGTTAAAACTACTGACAATTGCTTGGCCAAAACTGGGCATTCAGTTCTCTATTCCATGCCTGCTGTAATTCTTGCATATCATATTTTTTTTGTGGGTAATATACCATATAGAGCATGCGTGCGCCATATGCGGGCTCACCACATGTGGACTCAAGGTCACGCAGACAGCGAGCCCTGGAAGAGTGAATGGGGTACACACCCATGGTGTGCGTGCCCATAAAACAAATGGCACTCAAGGTCCTGCGTTTTTTGCCTTACATGGGTGCGTGTGCCTGGAACAGATTCCCTACGTATAGGAAGGGCCCACTGTATTTTATTTTATTTTAAACCACCCTTATGCCAAAAAAGATGCTGAAGTTGTATTATGTTCTGCTATGGGATCACAAATTCATTGAGATAAAAAAAATTCTAAATATTCTCAAGTAAAACCTAGAGCAGAATTGTTCTTCTAAATCTTTGTAGCATGTCCTCATTTTCTCTGGTGATTTCCAGTGATGTTTTAGAGGAAAACAATATCAGAAGGAAACACATAAATTCTTTTTTTATTGCTAATACCAGGTGGTGCTACCTTTTCTTCCCTTTAAGAAGTCCCAAGGTATTTTACAATATAAATATATGACAAATAAAACATTAAAACCAGCTCTGTTCACCATATGAACAAACACAAACAATAAAAGCAGCAGCAAGATCAAAACAATAAATACTCATCATCAGGAACAAGCACAAAATCCCCAGCGCATTCTAACTTTCTACAGAAGTCTTCTGTGGAACTAAATTTGTTGTTATTCTCTGCCTTTCAGGTCAACTGACATGGTGAGGTGAACCTTTCAATTTCTTGGCGAGATTTTTTCAGTGGGTTGCCCATTGGGTTTAATGGCCAAGCAAGAAATTGAACCCTGTTTCAGAGTCATAGGGGGGAAGCAGACGACTTAAAGAGCCGTTTTGGGGGCAGGGAAGGGGAGGGGCAGCTGCACGGTGGGTGCCCCAACCCCTTCCCCAGGTCGTCCTCGGAGCAGCTGGCCCTCCGCACGGCCGGTACTCTGAGGAGGACCTCCCGTTGCAGCGTCCATACACGGTGACTTCGGTGACTTGTGGAAGGAGCGCCAATTTAGCACTCCTTCCAGGGGCAGCGAAGCTGTGCCACGGGGCCGAGGTGTGCGGATACCTCGGCCCCGCGGCGCAGCTTCCCAGGGGGCCCCACGGCCGCCCGTCTGCTTCCCCCCCGTAGTCCAACAATCAAACCAGTATGCTATGCTGGTTGGCTGTCTTTTTTTCTTTTTTCTTTACCTAGATTTTTTTTTTCAAAAAAACAACACACCAAAACAGTTTGCCTGTGCTTCTTGGTGTGTGTGTGTTTTACTGATTGCTTTACTACTGATTTACTACATGAACACTCATTTCCATTTTCAGATTTGTCCTCAATAGGGTTGTAAGCACACCAGGAAAAACTCTCTTTATCCTGTGCCCATGTCTTTAATAGCAAAAGTCAACAGTTAACATTTTCACAGAGATAGACAAACAAGTTGCTAATAACATCATACTGATAAACGCACAGCAGCAGAGGCCACTTTTGAAAAATGGACATCCTAGTCCTAAATGTGCTTACACCAATGAAGTTATGTTGAATTAAATTGGGTCTAGCATACTAAAAATATAATTGCGTAGGCAGGCTTGATCAGCTTGGGGACTTCTATTAGTTTTGGAGTTAATCTAACTCACAGTTGTCAGTCTTGCTTCTGTGATTAGGTTATTTTTTAAAAAAGTTCATTAAAAAAGGAGTTCTGTGAAGTAAAAATGGTCTTGTATGAGAACAAAGTAAAATGATTGAGAGTATATTGCCAGGATGCCAATAGTCTTAGTGGCTCCCCTATTAATACTGGCAACGCTCTAGTTTTGGCAGCAAGTACAGCCATGCATTCTGAGCCGAGAGAGAGAGAGAGAGGGGGAAAAAAAAACCAGTTTTTCAATTTGGCACAATGACAGCCACAGAAATTACTAGATGGTGAATGACGCTTCCTGCTGAGCACAGTGTTGTATCACATTTCCAAAGATCTACTTGCAGCATGAATTGAATTGTGCTCTTGGGAGAAGGTATAAATTAAACACTGGTCTATTTCAATTTTGTACTGTTCCGCTTCTTGGAACATAAATTTTACCAACACATTGATGTCTACATGAGCTTCCATAGAAGATGAGTTAATTCATGGTGTTTATATTTGGACAATAAATTTGTAATCAAGCTGTCCCATTTCTAGGTGGTAGAAAAGTATTGATTTGGTAAGATTCAACCCGCACTGCTATGTAGATGTGTGTGAAATAAACCCCACAGAACACAAAAGGATTACTTTGGCGTAAGCAGGCACAAGAACTTGTTGGATAAATTACTGTTTTATTAAGTGTAAAAATGTTGTTCTAGCATTTAATATTCAAAAGCAGCAATAGGAATTTAGGATAGGCTTGGGGGCACTGTCATACTTGTGAAATTTAGGATGAGCATTAGGCAGAAAATAATTTCATAATGGTGAAAGCTGTTACTTACTGAAAGAAGTATCCCAGGGTAATTTCTAGCTGGAACCTTTTTTTCATGAAAAACACAGAAGGTTTTGAGAAAGAGCTTTCTTTTTCAAGGGATAATTTGTATGAGGTAACACTGGTGTTAACTTCTTCCTCCATTCCATATTCTGTAATATGGATATAGTAGAACATTTCTGAAAAGCTTCATTCTGTATCGAATACTTTCTTGAAAGTTCTGATCCTAGATGTGTATGAGAAGTTTGCAGTTGTGTCTTGATAAGCAATAGTCACCCTTTACAAATATTCTTTTCTTGGTTGTTACTGCAGGTATTCCAGGACTGAGTTCTGGTACTTAGATTATTTTTTTTTAAAGCTGACTGGTAGTACCTGGCAATTTTCAGAAAAGTTAAAGGACAGTTGACAACTTTTTTCCTGACAGAGCTTCCTTGCCTTAAATAACTGGGAGCCAAGCCAAAATTCAGCAAGGAAGCTTTTCTTTGCTTGTATATGCAGATTCTTACTTTTTGGTTGTCTGCGAGTACTGCTTCTTGTAGGCGCAGGAAATACTCTTGTCAAACTTGAAACTGTAATTTTGTGTGTTTTCATTTTCATCTAGAGAGTTCTTAAAGTTGTAATACTGTTACTTGCATTCCAGAATTAGCTGCATCTGAACCTGTGATCTTTACCATGCAAAGCTTTGCTCATTCCATTAGCAACTCACTTTAAGAATAGTAGTTCAACAGGTGCAGTATCTTCTTGACATGGAAATGCAATGTTGGGGAAAGCTGCACTTGTTGAACGTCTGATTACCACAGATATATTAAAAGCACAAGGCATCTGTCAGGAAAATGGTGGCAAACTCTTAGTAAGTCTGGTTTGTTAAGGGCTTGGGGGTAAGAGAAAGTGCTTTTTTCTGAGTACTGTTTAATACAGTTGAATGGACTTTATGCAACTTTATAATGTATAAAAACAACTGACAAAACATTTTAGTGCACAGAATAACAAATAAAAAGTTAATTCCTATGGCTGGAACTCTCTTGTGACTTTAGCCTGGGATAAATACTATAATGAAAGTGGTCACACTTTCTCAGAGGTTGCAGAAGGGTGAGATCTAGATTTGTCCAAGCCCTGTTACACTGATGGTTGCATTGTCCAGGACGCCTTACTCGTGGGTGGGCAGTTGTACAACAGAAAGTGCACAACTGTCCTGTCTGTTGTG